TAAGCTTCATCACAGGAAGCAGAAGGTGTCCACAGTAGAAGCCAGCAAATTAAGCTTCATCACAGGAAGCAGAAGGGGTCCTAGCTCAGAGGGAAGCAAAACCAGAGCCTTGCTTGCGAACCTATGTTGCTGCGACACTTCTGGCTCTCAGAGTGTGTTATATTAGATAGGTCCTTAGGTTTGCAGTGCAGGCTTTGTCTCCCAACAAAGCCTGCCATGAAGGGATTTAGGCCCGGATCCTCAGATTGCCTCGATCACAGAGATCCCAAAGCCATGGTCATGGCACAAAGGTGGCGGCCCACGACTTTTCAATATCGCTGTTGTTTTTTTTTTCAAAGGGAGGTGGACTCCTCAGACAGTCAGACGAGCCGACCTCCGCTCTTCAGCTCGGCCCAACCTCTCGGCCGAGGTGAGCCGGTGAGCCGGGACGGGCCCGGCTCCGGACGCGCCCAAAACGATGCGGCCTGGCGGCGACGGGGCGGCGGCGACGGGGTCAAGGGCTGAAGGATGTTCGGTTTCTGCCAGGAGGTTTCTGTTCTGTGTGGTTGGGTGGAGTACCCTCCGCTACTTAGGCATCTCCATTGGACACCCATTGGATGGTTCAGGTAGATCTGTTTTTTACCTTTTTTCCAGGATGCTCACAATGCAAAACTCGAACCATTTGAGCTGGGAGATCCAGATGTTTGGTGCCGGCCACGTGTGAGTTCGCTGGCAAGTGCTACCGGGATCACCGGGTTCGCATGTCCCGGGTGCGAGATTTGCATTCCCGCAGCCCAAGCAACGATTGATTGAGCCGATTTCATTAGCTTGTTTTCTCATATACAATCGAACTATAATATATATATAGATATTATATTATTATATATATATATATCATGTGTATATATATATAATATACATAAATGTTTTTTGGCATTCGTTCATTCTTCTTCATTTGGGTCCAACTCCTCATTTGTGCGCATTCAAGTGAGAAAATGAGGTTTGAAGCCTATCCGCAGCAAAGGAGATTCTTTTTTCTCGGACAACTTGGCAGTACAGAATATAACAGATTTCATTAGGTCAAAAGCTAAGGGTCTTAATGTGGACGCGTTTCTGTGCGAAAGTGAGTCCCCCTAACATCGTTTTAGTCACTATTTAGAGACACGTTTTTCACAGAGCTAGTTGTCGGTACAATCAATTGTCAGCAGGATGCGTCATGGAGTAGCCTTGCAGGGACATTTACCTTGGCAACTTGACATCTACCCATTTGGACAGCCACAAGACCACTTTGGGCAGCCTGCACAGGTCTCTAGTTCTTGCCCACATCAGTCTATCTCATCTACTTCCTGGCATACCCTTTGCATCACAAACTTGGAACCTATCAGAGAATTGTCCTTTTCCGAGCCTGGCATAAAAAGAGGCCCTTTGTGGGCGAAGTGCTCTGCCCCAGCTAGAAAATGAAGGTTCTTCTGATCTTGCTGGCATCCAAAGGATGCGCGCCTGGCGCGCGCCACTCTGTTGCCACCGGGAATCAGCTCGCTGCGCCGCGCCGCAGGATCAGCTCGAGCAAGATCATTGCTCCACTCAGTCGCCCGGGATCTCAGTCGAAGCGTCGAAAAGGAATTGGAAAACCGGGCGCCAAGGATCCCCAAAAACCTCCCAAGTAGCTCCATGGGACTGGCATATGAAACCCGATCAGTTGGGGTGGTTGAATCGAGGGGTCCGGGACCATCTTCCAGTCCCATGGATTCGGGGAAAGGTGTGGAGAAAGGCCCAGTTAAGGCGAGCTCGACGTGAGAGTTAAGGCTAGCTCGAACATGTCGCGATCCAATCGCCGAACAGGTCGCCCTTTTTGAAGCCCTCAGCCTGTGGTCTTTTTCTGCGGACCGGGCTTTTGGACGTTCGCTCTTTGGAGCAACAGGAGATGAGCGACACAAGATCTCAAATGCGTAGAATTGACCCAGAACTGCAGACATCATAGCAGGAGTTTGACCCGGTACTTCGCCAGGAAACAAGACAACATGTTTCTTGCAGAATCTGCTCCATATCTTTTTGTGTCAGTTTGATACCTGTGAGTTCGACCGTTCATGTTTCGGGCCCAGTGGTGGCTGTGCTCTGCCTGGTCCTGTATGCGGCATTTGAGTCCTCTTCGCACGATGAGAGGCAGGCTGTTTCTTTTTTCCTGGACTCGTTGGCTTGATATCACCACGATATTGTGGGCGGATTTGGTGTGATTTTGCACTTGTTCTAGCCCAGAGAGTTTTTTGTTTTCCTTTTTTTTCTCCTAGCACTGGGAAGAGAATCAGAACTGGGTCCAAAAGCTGAGTCGGAACGGACCAAAGACTGACTCGGCAGGCTGGAATCCTTGGAAGATCCGGGCATGAGGCGGATGAGGCCGGGCAGCGGACCCGGTTCGGTGGATCCGGCACCCTCCCAGGCATGAAGAGGTGGAACGTTCAAGGGAGTCAGGTGTGGTGGTGTCCTGGTGACCCTAGAACGGTGCAATGGTGTGTAGTAAAAAATAGAGAGACTTCCCCCTAACAAAGAAGGAACCGAAACGGTTCAAACACGAAAAGTGCATCGCTGAGCATGTGCAAACCAGACGATTCCGAAGGAATACCACATACGCACAGCATACGCTCTTCGTATCCAGCTCTTCGTTCTCCGTGTTTCAGACTCATTTCCTTCCTTTCCTCCACCATCCCACAAATAGCCGCCGCACGCTCGAGACAGCGCGACAAACGGCCTGTCCTCGAGGCCTTTCCTCTCTTCCCGCAGCTTTGAGATTGGTCTTTGGACACGGTCGAAAGGCGGTCTTTCGAAGCCGCGCGGGCTGCTTGGACGTGGGCGGCTCTCTCCGCGGTTGTAGCAGATGGCAGCGTAGCAGTGTGAGCACACTCTCTGAAGAGATTGTGTAGAATTAGTGCACACCTGGAACTTCCTCAGTGTGTTCTTTTGTTTTTTGTTTTTGATTTGCGGAGTGAACACAATCTTTTGGCGTCACAGCCTTATATTTGAGTTTGCGGATGTTTCTCTAGTTTTCCGTTTTTTCCTGATGTTCCATGGGCGTTTATACACAGGCTACGGGGTTTATTGGTGAGCCACGGGCATTTTTACCGGAACCTTGTATTTCATTCAGCGCGGATATCTATTTCGGTTGTGTCTGTTTGTGTGGTTCACAGACCTACAGAAAGGTATATTGACCTACCGACAAAATAACACCACGAGGTATATCGGTATGACCCTTCATTGGTTGCAACGGTGGATTCTCATTTTCATTGGTTGCAACGTCACTTCCGGTTTTCACTCGGTTTTCATCCGGTCGTAACTCAGAACTTGTTCGGTGTCCTGGTGGGCTTTCCGGTGTGTTTCCGGTGGCGGAACCGCTTTCCGTGGCGGTTCCCCGCGCGGAACCGGCAGGGCACGAGGGACATCCGTCCAGCTCCGACGCGTTCCCGGGCGCCAAGAGGGTCGGAAATCTTCGGAAAAAGCCTCCCGCGAGTGGTCCTTGTTGGCTGGAGGTGTTCTGAAGGCCTGTGGGAGGATAGAACTGAATGAATGGGGGGATACGCTGCACGGCTGCACGAGTGTGTGAAAAGATGCCAGAGGCTTGGCCATAACAGTTGTCAGTCAAGTGGCCATGATCTGACAGATCCAAAGGTGCTCAAAGAATCTCAAAGACATATATTGCGTTCGGTTCGATTAGCAAACAACCAGAAGCGCTGGCCAGATAAGCACTGCCCCTGTCCTGCCTTGCCGAAACCTGGGTCGTCAGTGACTCCTGCGGATGACCTTTTTTGCGAAATTCCAAGTCTCCGGAGTCTAACACTCAACCCTTTTGGCTTTGCTTTCCCTGCCCAGAGGCCTCCTCTTGCACAGACTTTTCACGCCCGTGCGTCTCCCGAGGGCCTCGGCGGAATCGGTCCGAAGCCCGAGATCCGTGTCCAAGTCCGCGCGTGCGGGTTGAGAATCAAAGCGTGTTACAGAATTACAGATCAGTCAGAAAAAGCACAACAGAAGGCATTCCAGACGTACAACGGATCCGTCACAACGAACAACATCCAGACACCTCCGGACGGATCCGCTTGAAACGGTCACGCGCTTTGGCCCCAAAGGCGCCCCAAAAGCGCTGCGGCGGTCGCCGCGCCTCGCCGGCCAGAACCCGGGACGGCCGCCGAAAAAGCGAGGCTGAGGAAGTGGCGCAACTGCGGCAAGAGCTTGAGAAGGCTCGTGTGAGGCGAGACCCGCCCCGGTCCGATGCCGGACCTCGTGCGTTCTTCTTCTCCCCCCAAGTCCGAGGGTTTATATAGGCGCCGAGAAGTCCGGTTTTTGGGTGCCGCAGTCACGTGGGTTTCGGGCCGAAGAGATCGAAGAGATCGAATCACTCGTCATCAGATCGCAGCCCGAGACGACGATGAACGACAAGGTCTCGCATCATACCACGACGTGAGTTTTGGGACATCACGACGAAGTCACTGCTGATCCCGCACATCACCCCACGGAGCATCCGCTGACCAACGATTGTAAAAAACATCCGCCAGGGAGACCTAAGTATCCTCTAGACTCTAAAGCCCCTCCATAACACTGTTTAACACTGGTACAGCCGATTGAAGAGATGAGACAAGACTAGGTCATAGGCATAGGTATCAGACTATCATTTTTTTTCTTTGACTTTCTGGCCTTCAGGGGTGTCTGTGACCGCAAGTCTGATAACCAGATGGGAGGCCTCCGGAAGGCCTCAGGCCTCCGGACACCTGTCAGGACGGAGCAGCAAGCCGCCGAGCTGTCGCGCCTGCGACCACGCTCGCCGGCTCGCGGCTCGAGTGCAGGCTCCTTGGAGTGGAGGTGAAGGGCGGTGGGCGGTGAATCGTTCGGGCGGTGTTTCGGCTTGAATCGTTCGGGCGGATGTTCTAGGGTAAACATAATGTAGACTCTTGATTAATACACCCCCTCGGTTTGAATTGAAGATCCTCTTCAAAAGGGGGTTTTACATTAATATGCAAACATTCAACGTGGGTATGTTTTCTGGATATAAACAGAATATGCTTTCCAGTCGACTGCTCATTGGACGGTTTTTTGCAATTTTTGATCCCAACGAAGAGCTTGCCTTGTGGATTGACATAGTTGCAAGAGCTAGCCAGGCCAAGAAAGCGCTGACCCTGCCGGACCAAGGCAAAATAGCAAAAACGGGTTGGCTGCGGGGAAAGCAGGCTGGTTGGTGAAAGAACTAGGACAACCCCCAGAACTCATGTTCAAAGGACAACCAGGGATTTCTCTTTTTCCTGACACAACTCAAGTCGACGTCGACCAAGACGAGCTGATGGGACTTGGTGATTCATTGAAAGAGACATGATGACTCCTAGGACCCACAGCTTTGGGGAAAAGCTGAGGTGAGCGCCCTGTGGAGGAGCTACGGGCGCGTGGTGGCAACCACAAGCCTTATAGGGGCCTAGAGGTGTTTGTTCATCAACATGGATGTGCATGGTTTCAGCCTAGGGTGACTTTTGTTCATCGCAAGAATTGACTCAAACCCGATTGGGTACTGGAGGTGGCTTCAGTCAGAGTACCGCTGACATTCAATTGCAGATTGCAAAGGCACTCAAAAGCTCAAAAACCCATCAGAAAAGAAGGAACCTTTCCCTGTGCAACCGATTTGGAGGCAGAGGATCTTGCAAGCTTGCAGTTGTAGCTGGTCTCATGTCGCTTCGGAATCCGGGACATTTTCTGTTTGGGAGGATCAAACTTCAGGAGATCTGCCACGACGCAACGCGCCGTTTGACCCCAGCCATTCCTCCGCAGTTGGAACACACTGCCCGCCTCCAGGACTCCGAGCCAGATGCTTCGAAGGACGCGCCGAAGGACGGCGGGGGGGTCTTCGGGTCGAAACGCCCAGCAAGGTTGGAGGTTCTGGAAGATGGGTTTAGAAGAGAGCCCTGCCCTACCATGTTCATTGGTGTCCCCACTGAACATGAACAGGTTCACTACGACCCTCGATCCAGAGTGTTCAGGGTCCGCAATCTCAATTGAAGATTGCATGGATGGTGGAACAGGTGGAAAACGGTCAACTGTTGGACTGAGGACTGTTCAGTCGTTTCTTTCAGCTGAGGACTGGTTTCTGGCTTCTGTGTGTCAATTTGACCAGAGCGTCAGAGCGTCACTGTCTGGTATGACAGGTGGAAGTAAGGTGGAAAGCAGTGTGAGCAGCCTCTGGATTTTCCAGGGAAACCAACGGAGTCAGCCGTCCCGAGCATGCAGGCGATTCGTACTGAACTGGGAGTCTTGCTGTGAAATTCGCACCGAAGACACCTCCACTGAACTGGTGGGACACTTCCAGCGTCGTCACCGAAGACTCCCAGAGGGTTGTACTCTACTTGCTATCTACTTGGTATGGGTCAAGACGACCGAACTTGGAGCAGGTTCAAAATGTCAGATCCCTGGTATAGATATATTAGTATTAATTATATATGGATAGATAGATAGATAGATAGATAGATAGATAGGTAGATAGGTAGGTAGGTAGGTAGATAGGTAGATAGGTAGATAGGTAGATAGATAGATACATAGATAACTAGATAAATAGATGGATAGATTAAACTGAAGGCCTCGTTTCACGGGCTTTCAGCTGCTTTTCCATACCGTTTCCGGGGTCTCAGCAAAGAATTCTGCCTCTTTGGAGGTCCCTCTTCGTCCGCTCAGGAGGCTCCAGAGATCCCGCCCAGTCTGTGGCGAGAGCCTCCTGAGGTCGACGGCAGAGGGGAAGGTGGACAGGGTGCTGGTCAGTCAAAGGTAGGGGAATTCGGGGAAGGTGTATTGGCCGGTGTACTGGTGTATTAGCTGTCTTAGTACATCTGAGTACCACGCCCTAGGAGTTCTAGGCAGATTCTGCCGCCTGCCCGCAACTTGATTCCTAGTAGCGTCCTTGTTCCTAGTAGTGAGGCCAGGAGCCCTGTTCGTAGCGTCCTTGCTCCTAGTAGCGATGCCAGGAGCCCCTATAGCTGAGAGATTTGACCTATGTTGTTTGGTTTGGACCCTGCAGGGTCAGGGTTTTCCCGTGGGACCGAGCTGGGCATGTTCTTTCTGTGGGTGTGTCGAGATAGGCATCCCAACAGGCACGTTTCAAAAGGACTCCACCCGAAAAAGACCACAGTAAAGTGGATCCATCAGGGGTTCATTGGCCCTGTCTGCTTCTTTGGTTGCCCTCTGAATCACCTTCACCTATATTCTACCAGCAGGATGACCACCAGCACTTGCTAGTGGAATTCCACACATTGACATGTCCACACCGCCCGTCCCCCGCCCGCGGGGAGGTCTCGCCGGCGCCGACTCCGAGTCCTCGCGGCGAAGCGCCGGTGCCGGACGTGAAAGAGGAGATCAAGGACTGACTTGGAGCGCTTAGAGAAGAGGGGGTTCTACTCACCAACAAACAAAACATCTGAGAAAATCATCGATTGGAATGCCACTGATTTCGAGAAGGCAACATGGTCCAGGGGGAGCCGGTTTGAAGGCAAAATCGTCTACCTGGAGCTGGTTGAAAGTCAAAATGGTCTACGGGGAGCCGGTTGAAAGGGGAAATTGTTTAAAGTCAAAATTGTCTACCAGGAGCCCGCTTAAAGGCAACATTGTTTATGGGGGAGCCGGTTTAGAGGGAAAATCGTCTACAAGGAGCCGATTTAAAGGCAAAACTGTCAACCGGGAGTTTAAAAGCAAAACTGTCTACCGGGAAAGTGGTCTACGGGAGCTGGTTTAAAAGCAACATGGCCTACGGCCAGCTGGCTTAAATGCAAAATGATCTATGGGGAGCCGGCTTAAAGGCAAAGTGGTCTACGGGGAGCCGGTTTGAAGGCAATATGGTTTGCGGGGGCCCGGTAAAATGGCTTGCGGGAAGCCGGATGGCACATTAAATAGTTTACCAGGAGCTGGCTTGAAGACAAAATGGTCTATGGGGATCGGGCCGGTCGCAAAGAAGTACTTGAGGTATCTTGAGGTGCATCCACCACCCTTCAAAAACAACTTCCTCGCAACAACAGTCGCAATCTGCGCAAGCTGTGCGACCAACCACGCCCTCTGAGACGGGCCAACTCAAGCAAAGCTCCGTTCCCCCGGGGAAGTTGCCCCAGATGAGAAACCGAGTGACTGCAGATCCAGCCCTCGGGAAGCTCGGCAACCAAATGAACAAAACGTCCGTCTATTTCTTTCGGCCTCCTGCCATCACAACTCTGAAGGCCCTGTACTTCGAGGATCGTATGCAGTGTCTATGAGAATCGTCCTGCAACTCATGTCCATGTTCACAAAGATTCGCAGTACGCAAGACTGGGGATGGACTTGCAAACATGTTTTTGTTTTTTTTTCCTCAGCCAGCGACGGTACAAATTGATGTAGGCATGTTTGTCCAAGTAGTAATTGAAGAACTCTTCAACATATGAAACTAACCATGTGCCATATTGTTGTTGACAGTTAACAATTAGAATATACGTGGGGACTTGCTGTGACTTGCTGAACTCAAAAGTTGGAACTCAAACCTTGCCACATGACAACTCATTTGTGGTTTCTCTAGATGTTGATTCTACCAGCAAGATGCAGCAGGTAAAACCAGGCCACGCCCGAAGGGTTTTTTAAGGGTGTGGGGCCCGAGGGGGGTTAGTATTACCACTATATGACATATTCTTCTTGTGCTGGTGCCTCCTCCAGTTCCCCCTTTGGCATTATCACTATCTTTTTTCAGGGGAGGTAGAGGAGTTGTTCCTTCGTTATTTCGGGTGCCGCCGCCACTCCGAATCCCCCCAAGCCCCAATCAGCACCAACTCCTGTTGGTCCCTCCCCGCCCCCCCCGCCCAACCATTTTCCTTTTGAGGGGTTGTGGCTCCAGTACTATTATTTTTTTGGTGGCTCTCGGTAGCACAGTTGCTCTTTGGAGGACTTTTGTAGCACAGATTCCTTTGGGGCTAGTTGGAAGCCTTCCAATACCCCACACTTCTCTTGGAATGCCTTCCTGTAGCACATATTCCTCTCGGAGAGCGTTCCCTAGCAGAGCTTAATAAGGTGGCTCTTTGGATGGCTTCTTCAGCACAAATTGCTCTTGGAAGCTCTTTGATGCTGACACTGAATGACCATCGCTTGGTCAGCTGGACACGGGCGACCCTCCGAGCGACCCTCCGAGCGACCCTCCAGGACAGTACGATCACTGCCTGAGGGCTCAGAGTCGGACGGGACGTCGAGCAGGAGAGTGGCTGGGCAGGCCACCGACGGACTGAGGAAAGACCACATCTATCTATCCATCAAATATCAGGATAAAGTCGAGTTCCGCAACTGCGCAGGATTCCGCAACTATTTGGTCGGATTCCGCAACAGGGATTCCGCAACTAGGATTCCGAAACTAGGGTTCCGCAACTGGGATTCCGCAACTAGGTTTCCGCAACTATAATTCCGCAACTAGAATTCCGAAACTAGGATTCCGCAACTGTCAGGATTCCGCAACTAGGATTCCGCAACTAAGATTCTGCAACTGGGATTCCGCAACTGGCGTTCCGCAACTAGGATTCCGCAAAATTGTGGATTCCCTCACTAGGACTCCGCAACTTTTGTGAATGATGAGGGGGTTGGCGTGATGTCGAGATCACACGATGGGGACAAGGGGGGGTTGGGGGGGTCGGGGGGTTGGGTGGGGGGCTAATGACGTCGGTTTGGACGTGCTTCGAAGATGAAGTCACAGGCACACGCTATCGCATGATGTGGAGATCACCAGTTGCAGAATACCAGTTCAGAATGCCAGTTGCAGAATCTGACTTTCCAGTTTCAGAATCGCAGTTTCAGAATACTAGTTGCAGAATCTGACTTTCCAGTCTCAGAATACAAGTTGCAGAATCCCAGTTTCAGAATCCTAGTTTCAGAACCCCAGTTTCAGAATCCTAGTTTCAGAACACCAGTTTCAGAATACCAGTGTCAGAATCCAAGTTTCAGAACCCTAGTTTCAGAACCCCAGTTTCAGAACCCTAGTTTCAGAATCCGACCCATTAGTTTCCGAATCCGGCTCCAACCTCAAATATCATCTATCCATCCATCCATCCATCCATCCATCCATCCATCCATCCATCCATCCATCCATCTTCAAAAAAGAACTTCGGTCACTTTCGATTGAGGGAGGCAGAGCACCTTCGAAGCCAGGGGTGGAACCACCCATTTTTCCACCGCTCATGGATGAGCAAAGCCCGAGGTCAAGACTGGAGACAAGCAGATCATCTTGCAGATCGGCAAGGCGAAGCGAACGGACGTGGCCGTTGGTGGTTTCTTTTTCTCCAAGGGCAGGTAAAGGTGGTGGCCCTTTTTGCCCAAACGCAACGTGTTGTCTCTTGGCAAGATCGTTTCCGACACCAAAGATGTGACAGCTCATCTGAACATACAGTATATATATATAGACCCCAAATAGATCGAAACGTAAAATCCCTTTCAACATGTATCGGAAACCGTTTCTATCTATTTTGGAACCACTAGATCTGAACGTGATTCCAATTGGAGACTCTGTCACATGATGATTCCAAGCACCCAGACGCGACCCTGGACCGGGGCCGTACCCGAATCCTCTGGAGGGGTCCGGACCCTCAAATCCCTATGGTTTTGAGGGACCAAGGCCTGTTTGGAGCGTTTGGGCATGAGATTTTACCGTTTCAGCGCTAACAGCAGATTGGGCTGCTGGTGGCTCGTCGGTCGGATAACAACTGCCAGGAGCCAGAGACGAGCTCCACCAGCCAAGGAGCTGCGAGAGCGCAATCGGTGAGTGTGGGGTGGAGAAACAAATAGGTCAACTCCCAAACTAAAACCAACAAGCTAACCAACAAAGCAACCATCCTTCCATATCCTTCCTGATTGTCTCGTTGGGTCCATTCCCATAGGTGTTGTACAGCTTCACGTGCCCTTTTGGGGATCCTCCTTAAGGCCATGGGTTGGTTGATCCGGCTACTAGTATCCCCAGGTTGGTTGCTGGGTGGCCACTTGGTCGTAGTGGCCCTTTCTAAGATCAAGGGTTCTGGTGAGTCTTCTTTTGTGACATGGGGACACCTTTTTCGTTCAACCATGTTCACCCGACCAGTCCACCATGTAGCGAAAGACCCACCTCCAATAATGTAGGTCCACCTAAGGTATCCAGCTCAAACCCGGGGTATAACACCCCATGGGATGCATAGATGTCTGCGCTCGGATAGAGGTAACCGCAGACGGCGTGTTACCAAGCAAGGCCAGTGAGGCTTGATGGTTCGACCAGTGAGGCGACGATGCGCCTTTCTTCATGTGCAGCTAACCCTTAAGAATCAGTGTCAAAACATATCAAAATCAGAGCTGACCTTTAGCATTCAGACAGACCCGAAAGACCCAGAGGATAGGAACCGGTATCGTCTGAGCTGAGCTGACTTGTATCCTAGCGCGAGGATGGCAAGGGAAGGGTGCACGGAAGCCTGGAGAGCAGTGAAGATCAGTGTTTTGAGGCAACTCTTCGGCCCTTCCTTTGGCCGTTGCGAGAAGCGCTTCTTTGCCCATTGAGCCAAGGTGGAAACCACGACTCAGGTGTGCCCGAGTTGCCTGTCATGTGGGCAAACTGGGTGAAGTCTGGTTGGAGAGACGACATGAGACGACCCTGTTGCTTTTGTTCGGGTATGAGCTTCCCTCACAAAGCAACATGTGAACCTACAGATTGTCTGAAGACACCGAGGACAGGATTCTTCTTTAGCCGGCTCAGGACTCAAAACGGTGTTCTTTTCATGATTTTGATTTCACCATCCAAAACACATATTATATACTGATATTAGCCAATCTTCGCAAATACCTCCAGCGTAAAATGTGGATCACCTGTTCTAAGTGCGTTCTTCATTCAATCTGACCAACATAACAATTTTGACACGTAGCGTAGCTGAAGTAGCTGTGCCTTTTTTTTGCATCTGTATATTATATAAATCCGGGAGACCCTACCAACCCATGGGTAGCCTGGTCTATGTTGGTCTGTTTTCCGAACCTTCACCTGACCCCCGCCGCGGCGTGCGCCGTGAGGCGTCCGTCGTGCTCGCCAACGCCACGGAGTCCAAAGGCAATGTGAGACGCGTGAGCGGTGGATGTGCGCGCCGGTGCGGGGGGAGGGTCAGAGGACGTGTGTGAAAAGAGAACACGTTGAGTTTTTGATCCGAAAAAGAATCGAAGAAACCCATCAAGCAAAGCCATGTGTTTCACATGGCTTTAAGCAACTCGTCTGAACTGTGCTGCCAGGTGAGAGTGATGGCACCCTCATCACCGTCCGCTCTGGGCAGTGGGGCTGCCCGAAGGGGACAGGGCGGACGGCTCATGGCCGACTCCCGTTGGCCGAACCAGGCGAAACGGTTGAGTGACGGATGGTCCAACATCACACCTTGCGAAGCAAACGGGAGAGGAGCGAGGATGAGCAGTATTGGCGTATCCGCATGAACACCTTTGGAAAAGGGAGCCGAGGAGCTACAAGGAGTTCCCCCATGCCCTTGTGCTGGCTAAACCTCATGCGACTGGCCTCTGGATGGTGTACATGTGTTTCGACCGATTTTGGAGGATTGACTTCGGTGGACCCACGTGGTGACTGTGAGGTCCGAGGTGCTCTTGAGGTTGAGAGTCCCTCAAAACTTGTATACTCCCTCAAAACTGGTCTTCCACGAGTCAATTCTCAGGGGGTAGTCGAATTATAAATATATAGTTGAGTTATATATATATAGTCTAGTCTGTAGTTCATTGTCCTTCGAAGTTCGAAGGACGTTGAATCTGGGGTGCTTTGGTTTGAGTTGGATCCAAGAAATCGAAACCTTTACCGTTGTCTAGCCGCTAGCGGCTGATGCCTGAATTCTGAATAGGCTGAGATATACCAAACAGGCTGATGCCTGGATGCAACAAAAACAAGACACACCTATAAGTTGCTTGCAGTCTGCATGACACTTTACCAAACGGCCAAAGGTTTGTGCACGCAGAGAGCAATGACCCTGGAAGACAATAGGTACACCTCGCAATTTTAGATTTTTGTGCAATGTTTGTTGGCTGGCCTTGGCCACCACCTTTGTTCAAAGGTGAATCCCCTCCAAAGCCCGTCTGAAACGCTGAGCTTCTATTGGGAATCTTTTGGATCCTTTCTTTCCCATTTTTCTTCCACGGCGCACAGCGCCCGCCGTTCGTTCAGAACACCGTGCGTTCCTGCGCGTTTTGGCTCGACCCCAGGCAGTCCATCGTGATTCAGGTCCGCGATGAGCAGGCGACACGGGTGTACGGAGTGAACAGGTCTCAGACTCCAGCGGAGTGCACGGATGGAACCTCAGACACAGAGAGACAGGTTAGTTTCTGACTTGGTGTCCCAGACGGGCCTTTCTTTTTTAAAGCACACATCTCACGTCTCCGAGTCCTGAGTCGCGAGCTTCAAAATCAGATGTCTGGTCTTGCTTGGTCATTCCGACTCGGATGTGACATCTGACGCAACGAGTTGGAAGGAATCGGCACATCACCCTGTGGAGGGACCGGCGCGGCAGCACGGCCGCACGGCCGATAGCTTCAGACCAACCGATAGCGCTGAACATCCGATTGAGAGCACCGTGGTAGGGGAGAGACCCCCCGATCGCCCCAAGGGGTAGACTGATCATGACTGGTCTATAACATGTCCTTCTTTGGTTCCAAATCCTTCCTTCTTCCAAGGGGGTCTCTCTCTCTCTCGCCCGGGAGCGCGCTCTCTCTCTCCCCCCCCTCCCTCCCTCCCCCCTGGGGTCCGGCAGCTACTTAGACAGCCGGACAGACGGGGTCGGACCCGTCAGGCGACCGCTTCGCCCAGCTCCACTTCTTCGCTCGCGTGGCCGCCGAGCGCCGGGGGGGGGCGGAGGTCTCTACTCGGCTCAGCCACACGAAGCATCCCCATCTCTGTGGATGGTCCACACGGTCCAAGTTGATGGAATTCATTTGATTTCATGGATCAGCGCGTGCACAGGCTGTGAGCTGCCCGCCATCGCAAGAGGAAAGAGAGGTATTTTCGTACTCCAAACAACCCATGTTTGGGATATTTGCCTCCAGTGGGGCTCAGTGAGGTGATTTCAAGAAAGGTTGATATCTAGATATTCCAGAGGATTCCATGCATGGATGGTTTGGGATGGGTGAAAGATTCATGCTTGGTTTAGGTATGTTTGGGTCTTGTTTCCTGTTCTCGTCGCGCGTTGTGCCCCGGCCCCCAGAAGCTCATTGTAGAAGGGAACGAAGCGTGTTTCAGCTGAATGCGTTGAAGGTCGCCAGGCCAGAGCAGCCTTCCGGCCACCCTTACGGCCACCCTTACGGCCTTAAACATGCTTGGGGTGGAGGTGGGGCTGAGACGTTCCAGCACTTCTGCTGAGGAGTTGACCAACACCACGGCGCTCGCTGCGGTGAAGGTGCGGGACTCGGTCTGGACGTCGACGTGGAGTCTCTCTGCTCGAAGGACGTCTTTTGGTATGCTCTGCTTGCAACAGGCATGCACAGGCTACTTGGTGCCATGCCCCGCGTCTTTGGGATGTGGCATGCATCATCGAAGTGGTCCGGTGTTGGGCGAAGCTGCGCGCGCTGGCCATCATCCTCATGACTTCAACATACAGCACAGGGTTTTCGACTGAGTGGTTTATACCTGCCACATCCAGCCCTGGTGGTTAGAACATGTTAGAACCTGGGCGACTCGTACCCGAACGCCCCTTGCCCGCCCGCCCATGGGGTGGCGACTCATATGGACTCCTTGGCCTTGTGGTTGCGCACGGACGCTGCTTCTCGTGCGGCCTGGATGAGCGATGAGCCGCGTCGCTCCGATGCGTCGCGTCCGATGCTTCGCTCGGCGGGCGACCCGTGCAGGTCGGCGTTCCCCAAACCGGACCGGCGTCGTTAGCCCAGGTGGCCTGCTCAAAAGAAACGCGTGGAGGGGCGGTGAGAGAGAGAGAGAGAGAGATGCTGCAAAGCGTGATGGACGGCAGGGAAGAAAAGCACAACAACATCCGTTCCACAACACATCCGGCTCATGACCGCAGCCGCCAGGCTGATTTTGTCGCTAGGCTGATGCAGACAACATGGCAGCCATCAGATTGGGAAGGACTTTTGCTTTTCAAGAAGCTCTTAGAAATGGTGCCTTTGTGATCCTTTGTGCAGAAAGCCACATGCTGGATGGCTGGATGGCGGCCGTGAAGTCCCCCCTCCCCCCGCCAGGATCATCTGAAAGGCGACGAAGACACAAGGAACCAAGGAATGCATTTCGCGAGCTGTGCTAGCACCCACCCAAAGGTCCAAGGCGGTGATGGTGTGCTGCCTGGTGATGTGTGCGAGCCTGCAGGGATTGGTCCAATATCCAACCATGCGTTGGTCTAGCGACAGCAGGCAGATATTTGCCAAGATTATTCCCTGGCCCGGCCCACACATATACTATATGTATCTACATGTATATATGTCTGCCATGAGACTGCTTGCTCATGCTTTGCTCTTCCATCCTGCAGGCCGTCAACTGTTTCTGGAGTTGTGAGATTGTGTGGCTCTCTGCTGAAGCTGTATGGTTTTGAAGTGGCTCAGGGACGGAGGGAAAACACATCCATACTTAACGACGCGAGGGGCCCGATTTATACAATTTGCAAACTGTAGATTCAAGACGATGCGCGCGAGGCAAGATTTGTTTTAAATTGGACCAGATTAACTATGATGAACTCACTTGCAACAACTTTCCCGTGGGAGGCTTTGCCAGAGCTGCCTGAGCTTCCTCCCTTGGCTGAGGCGCCATTTTTGACTGGACGAAAACTCGAGCGACGGAACTCGACCGTCTTGGGGCGGCCAAGGCCGAAAAGGCAAACAAAGTCATGGGCCGCTGATATAAGGTGATTTTATTACCCTATAGGCCCTATAGTTAAGTCATGTTAAATTCCCTTCTGGGGAATATTTTTGAAATGATGGCTGATGGCCAAGACCTCCCAAGACAGCATTCCGCAAGACGTCTCCCCAAGCGCCTTGATGCGTTCTCCCACAGGAGGTGGTTCCGAACCGCGAGTCGGAGACCTTTGCAGGTGGGTCCGATCGCGGTGAGCTTTGGGGCCCTTTCATTCCCTACTCACCGGAGTTCCTACCCTCATCCTTTGTAATATGGAGCGGAATGTGGCACGATTCTGCAGTGGAGCAGGATCATAAAGGATCTATCCATCAACAGTCCCACGTCATATGTGACACGGAAGGGGGGATGGTTACCAGGAGCGGACCACTCCGGGGTAGAAAGAGAAGACATCCTGGGTCCTGTGCAAAAAGAGGAGAGTCCCCGGAGACAGTGCTCAGTCCTCAAAATGGAAGACTCCTCAACAGAGCTTGGTGCTCAGGAATGAGGGACACCGTTGCCCAGGGGAGATTTCGTAGAAGTGCAGCACTCTGATGAGTTGCGCGGGTCCTTTGGAGCTTGTTGATGTTCGCGTTCGCTCGGAATCCAACGTTGCTGTCGCTCGTCTCTCATCCTAGGGGCCGAACGGTTCGCTCAACCGTTCAAGGCTTTGGGACGTAGTCTGTTCTCAGGTCTGGCGGCAGAGGTGGACGTTTCCACTACGACCGAGCCAGAAGAGGAGGCAGCTGCCTCTCACTGACCTTGCGCAGTGCAAGACTGTGGGCGTCCTCGTAATTTCAGCACTCACAACCCTTTAACATCCTTTAACCCTGGTCTCCTTCCATGGCAAGGACATGGAAGCACCATTGTAAACCATCGTTTTATGATGTCTGTTTAATGCTGTTCGAGGTGTTTCGCCCTGTCCATCCCGAGTATTCCAAGCCTAGGAGTCGACCACGACCAAAGGCCCAAGACTCAGTCAACATGGAGGGCTTTGGGTGACGCCCAGAGCACATGAGAACTTGGCTTTTCACACCACTTCGAACGCCCGTTGACAAGATTGACAGAGAAAGGGATTCCAGACCAAGGGTCCAAAATGGATCCAACTGGTTGAGGTCATCGATCAGTGTCTCTGTCCGTCGTTCAGTGTCTCTGTCCGTCCGTTCGATCGCCTCCCGTCTTTCCGAAGGGTCCACGTCCGAGGAAATCCGGCCTATGCCAATCTGGCCCTGCGGACCCGCTAGGGTCGTTGAGGCGGACCCTGAGCGGACCGGTGGGGCGGACGTGATGAGCATCGTCCGACTGTCACGGATCGCCCCCAAGGGGCCGCCAGGACGCTCGAAAAGCCTGTTTCAGTGGGTGGAGGGTTGGTTGCCGGACACCTGGGCAACCCGAGCAACTTTTTCGCGTGAAGGTGGATCACCAGAAGGTTTTTCTCGAGCAGTGACTAGGAAGACCATGGAATGTCCATCTTGAATCTTGATCCAGTTTGATGGGGCAATGGGAGGGCAGCAATGGTGGCAATTGATCACACACCGCAGATGCATGCAGGTACCACACAGGCTATACTCCTAGTAACGTAACGGAACCTGAGTGACCTCCATTTTGGAGGATCAACTATCCTATGGAATTTCCCTACCAAAACGGAGGTCAAAGTTCTGGGTGTATATGTATATATTTGTAGGGCAATGCAGGGCAGGTCGGTGTCTCTTGGGTCTTTCGTTGCCGCTTCATTCGTAGCGGTCGCTCTTGTGAGGGTATCTCCGTGACTGACTTCTGGCGAGCGAACCGAATTCCAGACCTCGTCTGGTTCCGTCGGCAGACTGAGGTGGCAAAACCTTGGAGCCATGCCACTCTGTCCATGGGGCCCAAAACGACGCCCTTCAAGCTGGTTGAAGCTCTCAAAGCTGACGACATCGGTCCGAGTCCAACCCTTCATGCAGCACGGAATCCATGGATTTGTTGAAGGGAACATTTAGTTACAGGAAACCAGGGCTTTCACCCATCAAAACCATCGGATTCCTGGATCAAATGATCTCACACCAATTCGATTCGACTGTGTATTTTATGTACAGGGGTCCCGGGAGCCATCCATTATATTGAAAGTTGAGAGCCATGGCCATGTACTCCCCAGATAGTGTAATCCTTATTTTCGCCCAGCTCGGCGTCAGACCGTCGCAGGCTGCTTTCCACCGCTGCTTTCCACTGTGAGGGTGTCTGACGTGGACGGTGTCGTCCGCGGGATCCTCGCCCGGCCTCCTTTGTGAGGCCCTTGTACAAAGCAAGATGTCTCACAGTGTTAGTTAGAGAAACAGGAGGTGGATCAAAAGCTGAGGTTTAGGTTCTTCTTGTCGCCAAAAATTGAGAGAATCTCAGTGATTGGTTGTGATGGTTCTTTTGGGCCTTAGGCGTCAGGTGTTTTTGACCCATCTCCTGTCCTTGGGGGCTGAAGCTTGTTCTGGAACGGAAGGACGGCCAACAGCAGTCTGAGAGTCCCTTCTTTCTGGCATGAGTCAGGGTGTAATTCAGCCCTGTTGCAGCAGATGAGCCACAGTGGAATCCGCGAAATTCAAGCGACTCGGGAAAGAATTGACCAAGATTGTCCCCGCAGGTTTGAGCACCACATTCAAGAGAACTCTCTGCATAAACCAGTTTTCATTCGAATTTTATGGCTCATCTCCCGATGACATCTCCGCTTCTCGAAGCAAAGGTTTCTTGGCGCATGGGCGGTTTGGATCATTTGGCCAGAGCGTCTGCCAGAGTGGAGACCTCGTGGAGACCATTTCTCCATGCTTGGTTTCTTGGGCTCTTTCTTTTGGCATGCTTGCAGATGGTGGGTCCTTTCCTCTCGCATCATCAACCAGACTGCCAGAGACTGTCGCAAAGGGTTAGTCTCCAGTCACGCACTCCTGCGATTGGCCACGCTGCACGCTGCAGCTTTGGCTAGCATGGCGAAGTAAGCACTTCGCCACCGCACCCCGCGGGCGTGGGCGACGCGTAGCGCCACGTTGGGGCGCGGCCGGGAGCCCATCGATGGCTTTCGTTGCGTGTAGACGAATGATGAACTCTCCACAGGAGCTGCGAAGAAGCACTAGTGACTCGCTAGGAACATTGTATATAGTCACCAATCTGATCATGTGCGAGGCTTGGACTATCTTCTAGCAGGATGCAAAGTGGGGTTTCACTTGCACCTTTTCGGTGTTTTGTTTGGATCCTCTTCAACAGAGCACGCCGCAAAAACCTTTCTCCGACGAGGTGGCCAACAGCATGGTGTCCGTGGTGATTAAGCCGCTGGGCGAAAGCGAGACCCCGTGGGCCCCTGTGGGCCCCGCACAGCCCTGAAACCGGCCCTGAAACCGCAGCCCCGATGTTGGAGCGATATGGAAGTGCTGGGAACTGGTGCCTTGAAAAGGAGAGGACACGAAGGGGACACGGAATGGCCCGGGCATGCCGATAGTTGGTTATTACGAGTACTTTTCAGGTCTTTGCCTCTGGGACGTACGTCCGCACTCCGGAAGTTGGTTCATCGCGTCGCAAGATGACTCGAGATCACTCCGGATCTGCCGGGAGCAGCTTCACCGAGAAACCGTTCGCACTGGGCGGATAGCGAGGCAAGAGGAGCGTTGCCAACTCGTGGTGTGCCGTCACGGCCAGGACCGGGCGGTAAGGAGCTTGGAAGCGAGAAGGATCGGGCGGTGGATGAATGGATTTCTAGCTTCTCATCCGGTACCCTCATTCGGACAGGGTTCTTGACCGAGGTCTAGAGGTTTTGAGTCGCACCGCAGCAACACTAATGGATTTTGATCTATTTTTCCTTCCAAGCGCTCGAGCTTCCCTTTTTTGGGTACACATTCATTCACTGTACATTTTTGCATGTTGTAAGCATGCACCTGTGGGCGAAACCTCGCCATGCCGCATGGCCAAGGATTATGGTCGGGTTGCTGCAGTGAGACTGAGAATTTCACCCGTTTCAACGAACCTTTTTTTTCTCTCCAGACCCTTCAGAGAGCCTGTTTGCTCACAAAACACTTCCGGGTCTCCGAGGACACGCCGTCGTGACCGCCTGCAGATTCCTGCAGGACCAAGCAAGCGGGCAGAAGTTCGTGTTGAAGTCCGGGGGTCCTGGAGGAACAAGAGCTATGCAGCTGTGCAGGATGCGGGGAATGAGCCGCATACGGTACTCACACACTCTTGCTCTCACTCTCTCACCCTCTCACACTCACTCACTCGCTCGCTAGCTCACTCACTCGCTCACTCACTCACTCACTC